TAGTACTCCAGGACAGTTGATGTATGATAAAATGTGTCAGCACTTTGCTAGGTTGGCAGACATGACAGCAGATGATGCAGTAAGAGCTGATGGTATAATTGATTGGATCGACATGCAGTGTAAACAGATGATGGCGTCGAAGTCAAGTTGTGGTAGTAATAATGTGCCATCTCAAATGACGCAGACAACCTTTGGCACTAGTGCATCACATGATACTGGAAGTGTTAGCGTGCGGGATCCAGAATGTGCAAAAAGAAAGGGTGCACGTAGGAAACTTCGTAAGAAGAGTCCATTGGAATCACATTCAAAGAAAGCTAAGGTCATCCCAAATTTTTGATAACCAAAGTCCGTAAAGTTAGTATGCTATATAATAACTTCCGATGTTTTGCAGGCAACTTCAAGTTCAAATAAAGTTCATACACCGAAGGTCCGGCCAAGTAATGTGGGGGATGTTGCCATGAGGGAAGAGTTGTCATATACACAACTCCTACTGGTTAGTTATGGTATACATTTTTCATTCATTCGATACATGTACCAATTACTTATAATTCCTTTTGTATAGGGTGGAAACCAAAATCTTGAATTCACACAACATTTACATACCTCCAGTTCGAGGCATCCACCTTCAACCAACCCTATATTGAATTCACAAGGTAAAGTACGATGCAACTTGATGCTTTAGATGTTGAAAATTAATATCTCTTTTGAGCTTTTGAACTCGTCCCTCCATGTGAAACTCAATCCATTTTCTCTACAGGTTGGGGTATACAACCAGTGCACGATGGTGTTGACAGTGGAAGACTAACTTCATTGTTGCATGAGGGAAGAGTTACTAGTACACCAGCAGATGTTGGACCTTCCTTAACATTAGGTGAATGGTTTGAGGTCTAGGCATTTGCAGCTGAAACTTTATTTGTTAAGCTTAGTTTAGTATGGATTTAGATGAAGATGTTGCATTTTGCTAGGTCTGGGCATAAGGTAGTCTGGCCTACAAATGATGTATTTAGATTATATTTATGTAATTCAAATGACAGTAGAATGAATGGGTTTTTTTTTGGAAATTCCTGAGTTTTTTCTTTCACTTTTCTATCATTTCTTATTAGCAAAGTATGGCTTCAACAACAATTCTATATGTTGGCATTTTACTGGTATTACTGGAAGTGTTCCTGAGGTATTGTTTTTGAATTTACTGGAACACTCTTTTGCTCCTCAGGCAAACTGATCATGAAGTGCCAGTAAATGAATTGTTTCTGTAACAATTTCATCAGGCAAGTGTCATAGGATCATAACCAAAATCAGACATCCTTACCAAGCTGATTCATACTGGAGTAGATAGTAAAACATTCTTTGGCTCATTAGCATCAGTCATAGGATCATTAGCATCAGACATTCTTTGGCTCTTTATAAATAACAAACTGGAGTAGATAGTAAAACAAGTCATGAACCAGTTTCCTGACTCGACTGCAAGTGCCAAGTGCTACCACAAAAGTCGACAATAACATATAGGCAAATTCAATTACCATACAACACCAGTTTCCTGAGTTACTCAGAAGCAAATTGGAATTTGGGAAATAAGGAAATCATAACACATCTTTAACTAAAAGGTCATACTGGAATTCCAAATTCATATATTTACAGAAGTGAAGCACCTGATTCATACTACAGTCCTAACTACAACTAGTCATATTGACATCAACGACATTACAATTTCACTACACATAAACCACTTAAGCACTTGCTCTTCCATTGCGAATTTTCACGGTCACAGAAATCTCCACTTCTTGTTCATCAGTTAGGCGGCATCCTGTTTCGAACAAGCCAGATAAATCTTCAGCTATTGCGTTCGCCACATGGCCAAACCTTGATACACCACTCATTTCACCCGCTTCGACCCACTCCCAAAATCCACAGTTCACGCTGCAAGTATTGAAAAGTCTACCTTGGTTCTTCGTTTTTTTCTCCACCTCGAAACATTTCAGGAACGCATTTTTGCACAATGGACAGGGGCGTTTGTTCGGGCATTCAGCAAAAAAATGCCCCTTCCTTCTACAGCTATGGCAAACTCCGTAATTCTTTCCTCTCATTGTACTCTTCGATTGAACCACGTAAATCAACTGGTGAAGTTGAGCCGTTCTGGAAGATGGGTGAAGTTCAGCCGTGGAGAAGGCGGGTGAAGCTGGGAAGCAGATGAGATTTCGAGGGTTTCAAATGGGGGAAATGTTTTAGGGCGAAGTCAAGTTGAGATTGTGGGAGTGAAATGGGTTTTAGATGGTTGGAGTGAAACGGGTTTAGATGGTGGGAGTGAAACGGGTTTAGCCTTTGGGTCGGTTTTGAAATTCAAAATAGTTGACATTTTGGCCACGTCAATTGCCACGTCAATTGCCACATCATCCTGTCAAACCCAGTGTCAACTCCTTCTGGTAACATAGCAAAATTGTAAAAAAAAAAATTAAAGGTTTTAGAGTATTATGGAATAGTACCAACCAGCTCGAAGCAAAATGATCTTAGGCAATGAATATTGTACGGTCAAAATCATTGAAGGTATTATTTATGATTTAGTCTCCCAACCTCCAAACATAAAACGTCTATGTGCAGGTGATTTTTCTTTTTCCTACTCCATCTTTTTCCTACAAAAATTTTGCTAAATGGAGGCTTGTTTTGTCATGTCTATTATTTGGTAAGAAAAGCTAGCTCGGTTTTTCACAATTCTCAAATGAGGAGAAAAAAAAAGACCCTTACCGTCTAATACTCTATATGAATTTCTACTCGATCTAGTTTTTTTTAATGTCTATATGACGAAAAACATGTTTTTTTAATCAATCTAACGTAAATTGTGATTAGTTGTTAATTTGTATAATGCACATCGATAAAATTCGTTTATATTGAAAAAAAGAGTTATAGTGACACAAAGGCGGAAAGATAAACAAATTCTTGTATACTAACATCTGGGTTAATTTCTTTCGCGATGACTACACTTTAAAATATTTTTAAATCAGATCATTATATTTCAGTTCGTGTTAATTGGATCATTCTACTTTAGTTTGATATCAATATAGATCACATCCTCAAATTCCGCTGCATTGACTAACATAATTCCGTTACGTTAACTAACATCAAACAGTGGCACACGAGTATCAATTATTAATACGCTCAGGACGGTGATGTCAACCCAACATTTACCCTTATTTTAAATAAAACAAAAAGAAATCCAACCTCCTCCAATCAACCCCACAACCACCACCACGACAGATACTCCACCTCGATCATGGGCTTATACTTATCATCAGCTTTACCTATGAACATCAATGTTGTTTACTAAAATTATATATAAATATTAATCATCGTGGAAGGAATTTGCTTACCTAATTAAGGCAAAGATATGATAAGAATTAGTTCCAATCAATAAAGAGTTATTTTATATTACAATGGTGTGAGACAACCATGCTCATGCTTTCACAAACTCATTATTAATCTAAGAGTGTGTTTGGTAGGGATTTTTGGGGGAAGAATTGATTTTTGAATAGTGATATGATGAGAAATGTGTGGTTCAAAAAGAAGAAAAAAGTATTGATGTGATGAAAAATATTATTTTATTGAAGAATGTGTGGTTGAAAATGAGAATTGATTTACTGTAGAAAATGAGAATCTGTACCAAACAGGCTCTAAATTAGTCAAGCATTTCAAAAATTCCTCTATTATTTATACCCAGGCAACCAATTTATTGGCACAAGGGGAATGGCACTCATCAAAAGAAAAAAAGTACTAAAAAATAAATTTGGAAAAACCCAAAGTCAATGTCATTAAAGATTTTGCCTGTACGTCCCACAAGATTTTCTTCTTGTATAATTATGCCATAAAAGAAAATATAAAATATTTGAAGCATTTGGATACAAAGTTATAAATGAAATCAAAGTCAAAAATTATTTTGTGAGATCAACTACTATTTTTTTTTTTATTTTTTATAAATTTGTCGAACGAAGGCATTAGCTGACGAACTATGTGAATTGAAAATTTTAATACGTCAATATTGTTCAGTACATTAAGGATGAAAATTATGTACGATTAATTCTTTCCAGATCTCGTGTTTGGTTCAACCAAATATATATATATATATATAGATGTATCGTTAGTTACGAATACTTATCGGATTATAATAATTAAAATTGGAGGTGATCAATGTTGACCCTTCTAGTAGAAATCAATTGGTAAAATCAATTTGCTTATGAAATAAGTTTATTTTTATAATTTAAATAGGCAAAGATTTGTGGAATTCACATTAGATTTCCACTGTGTCAGATTGTCACTGGCAATCATCTTGATAGCTTTATAATTTGAAAAACACGTCAAGTAGTGGCGGGCTGGTGACGAAATTAACTCATGAAAATAAGTTAATTTCTTTTTCTTTTTCTTTTTTCAACTCAAATAAAATTGGTTTTACTTTTACTTATGAATTATGATGGGCAACAACTATTGGACATACATTGCATTTTGTGTTCGTGAAATGCTTCGACTGTGAAACTAAACTAATAGGGAATATTTGACGTCGGATGTTGCCCGACCATACGAAGAGGTTTGTCTACAAGACGACCCCATTCGAACCAAAGCTTGCCAGAATCGAACTTTTCACGTGTCGGACAGGCCAATCTTGCAAAGGGCCCCACACATTTTGACAACGCAGTGGACCAGCCATCCATCCTTCATAGGAGGAATCTAATAGTACCACTTTGTCAATGTTCGAGGCTTACATATTGAGCTCAACCCTTGTCCATCTCCAAGCTCCATTCCCTCTCTCTCTCTCTCTCTCTCTACATATTTCTCATTTCCGATTGTGCAAAATCATGTTGAAATCTTTCGAGCTACCAGATTGTTTCTATTCGAACCAGCCCGCATTGATCCGACCCAACAGGCCAACTCCAAATCACACACTCTATCTCTCCAATCTTGATGATCAAAAGTTCCTAAGATTCTCAATCAAATATCTTTATCTTTTCAGTAAATCTATGAACATAGAAACCCTGAAATGCTCACTCTCAAGGGTTCTTGTGGAGTACTATCCATTGGCTGGGAGGCTAAGAGCAAGCACAGAAAATGATCAAAAACTCCAAGTTGACTGCAATGGAGAAGGAGCTGTTTTTGCAGAAGCCTTCATGGATTTAACTGTCCAAGAGATTCTTCAAGTTTCTAAAAAACCAAATAAATCTTGGAGGAAACTCTTGTACAAAGTTGATGCTCCAGGTTTCTTGGATATTCCCCCTCTAGTAATTCAGGTGATTAATTATATCATTTCTATTTCACGTTTTATCCAATTTTCCTTGTCAGATAGGCTAAAAACGTGATATGACATTTCATTTTAGTAGCTTGCTTTTGCTAGTTTATCGAAGCTCGAACTGTATTTTATTGTTCAGATGTCTAGTAACGTATGTTCAACTTATGCGTACATGTATGCTATCTAGTATATATCGAACCTGAAGTGTAGAAGTAATTTCGATTTTCTGAAAAAGAAAAATTATATAACCAGTGGGATATCTAGGATAATGACAGACAGGTGACCCTATAATTTTTGTATGGCAACTTGGTCATTGTCCTTCGCCCTTTTGTTCCTTTTAACAGCTTTGGTTGGTGAGCTTTGGGGTTGTGTTATCCTTTTTCTCTCTCTACATACCTACTTTTCTTTCTCTCTATACATTTAGGCCCTGTTTGGGAGGGATTAAATTTTTCTACAGTAAATCAATTCTCATTTTCAACCACACATTTTTCAATAAAATAATATTTTCCATCACATCAATAATTTTTTCTTCTTTTTCAATTACACATTTCCCATCATATCACTATTCAAAATCAATTCTTCCCCCAAAAATCTCTCCCAAACAAGCTCTTAACCTTTTTTTTCTCTAAAAGAAATTGCAGCCTTAGTCCCAAAACTGTCGACTTAGTAGCAAAAAGATTCCCTTCTTATTTTTTCGGCATTTAAGTCTTTAATCGTTTTTCTAACAAAAGACCGTCATAGGCTTCGGTGGCCCAAATTTCTCAACTTCATGGTCCAATTTTTCTATTTTCCATCTACAATAGACAAATAATTGAGGACTTAAATGATAAATAAATAAGTTGAGGACTCATTTGCTTCTAAGTTAATAGGTTGGGGATTAACACTGAAATTGGCCCTTTTCTTTATTGGTACAGGTGACGAATCTCCGACGTGGAGGAATGATTCTGTGCACCGCAATTAATCACTGTCTGTGCGATGGTATTGGTACATCACAATTCTTACATGCTTGGGCCCATATGAGCACAAAATCCACCACTGATCTACCAATCAGACCATTCCACTGTCGCCACGTGTTGAAACCCCGCAACCCACTACAAGCCACGTTCTCTTGCCCTGGATTTACCAAGTTTGCCCCTGATAAGTTTAATTCTCGAATCGACACCAACATTTACCAATATTTACAGTCTCAGCCACTTGTGCCAGCATCCATAACTTTTACACACTCCCAAATTCTTCACTTAAAGAGGCAGTGTTTGCCCTCCCTAAAATGTACCACTTTTGAGGTTTTGGCTTCTCACACGTGGCGTTGTTGGGCGAAATCACTCGATCTTTCACTTTCTTCTAACGTAAAACTCTTATTTTCGTGTAACGTGAGGAAAAAGTTAATACCGCAGTTACCACGAGGATATTACGGAAATGGGTTCGTGTTAGCTTGCGCAGAGACCATGGTAAAGGAACTTGATACGACCAACTTGTATAGTGGGGTGAAGCTTGTGCAATGTGCAAAATCAACAATAACTCATGATTACGTGAAATCCATAATAGATTTGCTGGAGGATAAAACTGTAAAGACGAACCTCTCGACAAGTTTGGTAATATCCCAATGGTCAAAATTAGGGTTGGAAGAGTTGGATTTTGGAGAAGGGAAGCCTCTACACATGGGTCCTCTAACTAGTGATATTTACTGCTTATTTTTACCTATCATTGGAGAATTTGATGGTGTTAGAGTGCTTGTGTCCATGCCAGAGAATATAGTTGATAAATTTGAATATTACATGACACAATTTCCATTAATTATGGAAAATGGAGATGCAAATAGTGTGGAGTGTGGAGTAGACAACCTTGAAATGGTTTCTATTTGAATAATATTTTGTTTTGTTATTGAACGACTTAGAAATGTTTCCTGGCATGTTAAATTATATAATGAATAAAATTTTAACTTATAATAGAAAAGTTTCACTTATGTAATGTTTGTGCATACGTCTCGATAATCAATGTGGGATTAATCCCTCGATAGTTTCTTTCATTAAAAATTACTTAACTTTCACATTGATGATGCATACAGGCTCCATGTGATGAAACCATCTTATCCGTTTTTCGGGTATTTTAGTCCATTAAAGTGCACTTACCTCAAAAAAAATTGAAAAAGAAAGAGGAAACAATCAGAGGAAGGAAAAGAAAAGAGAAACCAATCGCTTTATCACTTATCCATAATTCAAGCCATAGGTCGTCTTCACACCTCCAATGCTCCACTCCCACCCTCATCAAGACTCGAGAGCTCCAAATAGTTAAGTTGAAACTTGTCGTCCTGAATTTTCTAATTTAGTAATGTAGTTGCACAATCTTCGATAAGTTTGTAAATGGAAAGAATGGCATTAATCATTTCGAAAACATTATAGACAAGAAGTAAGAAATTTATCATTAGCTTCACTTGGGGTTAAATTAACATCATTATCGTCCTTGGCTGTATAATTTATTAGCCTAGTGCTTATTGTCTCACCACTTATGTGTCGGCACACTAACTGAAACTCAAAGGTTACATAGTTATTAGTTTTTTTAATATATTCTTTTTTTAAAAAAATTTATTTAAGCCCTTGGTTGGTCTACATAAAGAGTTTTAGGGCGTATTTGTTTTGGATTAAAATCTGATTTTAATTTAAGTATAAGTCAAAGTCAACGTCAAAGTCAAACAATCAATATTAACCATATCTTTCATGAGTCCCATAATTTTTCAACCACACATTTCAAAAATTTCTATCACAATCTATTAAAAATCTAATTTCAATCCCCACCAAACACCCTCTTAACATAATCTGATATTTTGAAATCCGGATTTTTGAATTAAAATTTGTGGCCCACAAAATCAACCGTTGCAGTAGGAGTAGGTTGACAACCCTATCTACAAGTTTCTTTTAATTACCAATTGTAACCCTCACTAAGCGTGCATAAATACCTTAATACCTCTATTAATAAATAAACTAAACCTATCTCTTTATCTAATCAATCATGCTACACAAATAGACTCAAAAATAGAAAAAACACGTATCGATACATAATTGAACAGTCTGACAAAAAAAAAATCAAACAGGTGCTGCTAAGTCAATCTGTCCATCGTTTCTTGTCTTTGAGCATGTTTAATCATCATTATTCTTATCTGATTTTGTGCAAATCTCCAACACCAATCGTCTTCCTTGCTTTCAAGGGCAAAAGCATCTTTGTAAAAAACAAAAACATGGATTTGATGGGACGGCGCTTCTCTTTTATGCCATAATTTGTCACTCCACGAAACATTTAAAATTGTAATCGAGCCCCACTAATTCATTCACACGAGTGCTAAGTTGATTAATATTTTTACTAAGAACCTTAATATGTCTTAGATCATTTTGCTATCACAACTGTGATATATTTGGTTGATCTACTGATATCGTTTTTCTCTCAAGAATCAATCGTACGTTTAAAACTTAAAATCGACATATCTTTATCATTGTAAATACGTGAATAGACTCATACATGGATAATATTTATATTCCTATACTTAAAAAAGTTGAAATTGGACCTCTATATATTATCATATATGTTAGGGCACTAGGCTAGTGCTAGATTAATTCGTAGATCCACATGAAAGATTCTCAATATCTAGGAAAGAATTTGTGTGATGACAAGTGCCTACGCGTGCTAACATTCTTTTCTTTTAGTTTAATAATCCTGGTACTATTTTCATTTTTTAATTATTTTTCTTATTTGAATTTATAGTTATTTGAACAGTGACAAATCCAAGATCTAATTTTAAAGATCGTTTAGATTTTGTCGCTGACTCTTGCATTAACAAAATTAAATTGCCATTTTCACCTTTTAAGTTTTATAAAACAGGAATTGACGCAAATGGTGTGTTTTGTGCGCAATTGGTCCTTTTTATAAAAAGATAGATACGATTCTGATTTTAAAAAGGAAAAATTGCAGTTAGGTCCCTAACCTTTGAAAAAAGTACAAATGAATCTCGAATCTCAATTAATTATATTTAGTTTGGTGTACAAAATATATCATATCGGCATGTTGATGAAATTTTTCTGAAGGGAAAAAAAAGTTAAGATTATTGTTCTTTAAGGGCATGTAATTACTTTGTTTTTTATGTAAAAAGCTTGAATAAAGATTAAGATAAATAAACAACAAAATAATGTATTATGACATTCAAACCAATCCTACGTTGTTTTAATTTAATATAAAATTGTTAATGAAAAGTAATTTATTAATTATGTGTTCTTTTTTTATCTTTATCAAATGATAATAAAATGATAAATTAATCTAGTGAAGAATATTGTTGAAGCTTTGATATATATAGCACTTGTTTGAACCCCTTTTTTTCATTAAAATGAATTCTTCAACAGTGGTTTGATCTCATTACAACTTCACATTCAACAATAAAACACGCAAATTCAATTTTTTTAACCACGCACTCTCCACCTTGAAAAATTGGGTGGAAAGAAAATGAATTTTAGGGAAAATAATTGCCCATAACTTATTTTTCCGGGAATGTCAATTAGTTGCGTTTGATTGGTATAATTTTTCACTTAAAAAATGTTGATATTTTCCATCTTTTGCTGTTTGATTGCCTTTGTTTTCCATGGAAAATTATGAGTTTTTCCATCTTTAGCTGTTTGATAGACTTTGTTTTTCATGGAATTTCTTTTCCAACTATTGGTGTTTGATAACCATTTATAATTTCCAAGAAACCATGAACAAAAGATAATACAAAACAATAGTTTAACATTGAATAGTGTAAAGAAAAATAATGTTTCACCGGAGTAAAACATGGCAGAGTTAAATGACAGAATTTGATCGGAAAAAGTCGTTCGTCAAGGAAAAAATGATAGATTTACTAGCACTAGCACCTATTTGTCTATGTTGATTTCTCGAAACTCTACTTTCTGAATGTATACAATCAAGGCAATACTAGCAGTTTCCAAAAATAATATGCATATACAAAAAATGAGCAAAAAACAGGGCATTGGAACATGCACTACTACAATTCCCAGAAATTGAGCTTTATTTATCAACATGGGTGGTTCTGTTCCAAGAATTATCCAACCATCAAATCCTACCAACTGCAAAAAATCCAACATTTTGGAACATTTCACTTTGATATTCAATCATAACACATACATCAGCTGGACAAAAAATCCATCAACAAAAGCCTACCCTTTTCTAAACATACCTCCAACTCTTAGGAGACTATACCAAAAACCATCAATCTAATATTTACAAAACACTTCGAACTTGTTTGTGCGTGTGTGCATTACAAAAAAAATTCAAAAGACCACGTACCTGGATTAAGTTTTACAAATTCGTGCAATCTACGATAGTGGAGGCGGATCACGACCAAGCTTTACAAAAAAAATTCAAAAGACCACATACGTGGATTAAGTTTTACAAATTCATGCAATCTACGATAGTGGAGGCGGATCACGACCAAGCTTGTCAAAAACCAAAGCACGCATGTATTTCTCGCTCGTCAGGTTCATAAATACCTTAGCCAAACCATTGTCAGATCGAAAGGCTTTCATGACTTCCATTACGCCCTTCATGTCTAGGTTCATTGGCTCCAACTTTTCTACAATCAATTGCCAGTTCACATGATTCTGTTTATCTAGCATAGCTTGCATTTACATAGTTTGAGTAATTTTTGTAGATGACTCAGCAATCCTTGATAGGGCGATATTAGCCTCATCCACCGGTTGTGCACGGCGACGCTTGGCTTTGTTGTTCCTGTCTTCGGTGATACACATACGGCCATAAACTGGGCTAGGATCCATCTCCACATCTAACTCGTTCACACTTTCATCAGTTACTACATTAAAGAGATAACAACTTATTTGAAGTTTATACATGAATACAATCAAAGTTTTCATTGGGGAGAAATGGTCGAAGCCAGACACTGCTCGATCTCCGGTGGCAGCATCATTGCCAAAGATAGTCTCCATGTCATCATATCTTGGACAAAGTTTGGTCCTCCACTTTTCAAATTCTGGCTTTCTCTGCAAAATAACCATGTGAGTGTATTGTAACTACCCCAGAACATCTAATTTCCCAGAGCTATTAATAGCAATGTCCAAAAATGCATCCTAATTCGTACCTTAATAAATTCGCCCTAAGCAACGACATCAGCTACAATGCGTCCAGTTTGGGGATCCAACCCAAAACCGCTCATATTTTGCAACTGGCGAACTTCAGCATGCTTTTTTTTAAAAGTCTTCAACCTCGCCCTTACATTCTTATCTGAGACCATGACCCCGCATCCATTGTTAACCCTGTCAATTACCTTAGATACTTAGAATGTGGTAAAGCCATTGTCACTTCATTTGTGCCAACCAACACTTGATCAACGAGTGAAGTGATCATAAAACCATCCATCTCATCACTCCAACGTACGTGACGAATCTTAGCATTAGGATTGACTTGCGATCCACCAAAATCAGTGTTATCCCCATCTGAAAGGGTGGTCGGTCTGGGGACATGAAAAGGACCCGTAGAGCTTCATCGATTCTCTGCCATCAACCCTGTCAAATGAAAATAGAAAAATATTAAACATTAGCATAACAAATATTAAACATGACAATAACATTAGCAAGAGCAACAGAAAACGTGACAATCCTGTAACAACGGTATACAACAACCAAAGGGATTCGAAAGTATGTCAAGTATAGCCTTGGAATGAAGAAAACACTACAATATAACAAGTATCGAAGTCAATGTTACAACATAACAACATTTAACGCAACCTTTGTACGATCCTTACAACCCATTCAAGTTTAACTCCAAACATTATAGGGAAACACAAGTAATGAAATACGCAACATAGGAGATT